AACTTTTTTTTTAAATTAAAAAACATTTTTCCAAAATCGGAGCTACACTTAAGTTTTTGACATTTGTTACACTTCCCAAGGCCATGTTAGCCTCTCTCCCCGCAAGTCAGGCAGAGTGACGTCTGAGGACTGGCCCTTCTCTGAGGGGGGGCTGGAGGGCTGTGCCAGACGCCCTGGACAATTCAGAATAACTGGGAAAAGCCAAAGCTTCAAGTGCATCCCACATAAGATACGTCCAAGAAAAGACCGTTCAAGTTTTTTAATACAAAAATACTCATACAGTTTTCCAAACACAACTTCCCACTTTAAATGCTATTTTCCCCAATATTGGCAAGTCCCACATCTATATTTCAGTATGTCCCCCCCTAGAAGTGAACTTCAAGTTTCTGAGTTTATCAGAACTGGTGACAGCACCCCTTTTCCTGAAAGAAGCCTGGCCTCGTGTGCACATTGGGACACCCTAGGCACACTTAGATTTACGTTTAATTGACAGGGTTTCACATCTGGACAGGGCACGCAGACACCGCGCGGGCACGGCACTCACTCGCTTTCACCAGACACTGCACTCCTGGCAGGGCCAGGAATTTGGCAACCGACAGTCGTAGGCGTTAATGTTCATCAAAACAGGGCTGAAGGGAAGGCAGCCCTGGAGGGGCGCCGTACACGTCGCGGCATCGTCTAGACAAATACTTGAGGCATCAGCACAGACCTGAGTGTGGGGCCCGGGAACGAGGCGGCTCCTTGGAGATGGACAGACCCCCGAGCTGCGGGTGCCGGACTGGCCTCCCCCAGGGTCACGTGTTGTCACCGCTGAAGCAGACCTGCTCGTGGGCCTGCAGGTGAGGCGCCCACCTCCCCAGCCCAGTGCTGGCAGGGTGGGCGTGGCCACACCGTGGGCACAGGTTCCTGACACCAAGGAATCCTGAGGTTTCGGGCAGTTTTCATTTCGATTCTGGTTCACATTAATGACAAAGGGCTAACACATGTTCGGAAAGACTGAACCCCCCAAATGAGCTCCCGCTGAGGCAGAACGCACGTCCTGTGACCCCGGTGGGAAGGCCCTGTAGGCTCTGCTGCTCCTCCAATACCCTGGTGGTACTCAGACCCATGAACTGGTTTTCTAAAGATTATCCGTTAGTGTTACTGGCTCATTAGTTTCAGTTTTTGGAAAGAGGGCAACCATGTTGAAAATAATTTTTCCAGTATTTCCTTCAGGAAGATCATTAAGAAATTTGGAAATATCAAAGTGACTCAAAAATCACAAGATTTTACTACTGAAAAATACGAAAATAAGTTAATCTGCTCCCCAAAGTGCACTGCAAAACCAAGTCTGATGTTTTCTGACTTACACAGATGTCCCTCAGCTGGTCGGAAAGGACAAGTGACGACACCAGCCTGCACGGGGCCCTTGGCTGAAGAGCACAGCCACAGCCACGGCAGCTGTGACCACGCTGGGCTCGGGAGCCACTTGTGTGCAGATCTCAGACGCAGGTGTGCGAGTGCTGCAGGCTCCAGGCCGTCCCTGAACACCCAGGTTGAGGGATGAAGGGCATAAATCTGTAAACCAATCCAGTATCTTCTTACAAGAACTTGCGGGAAAAGCTCTGAACTGAAATAGCCCCCGTCTGGTCTTATCGGGCAAGTGCGTTTCCAGACAGAACCGAGTCCCAGTGCAGACGTGGGCGGCGGGTGACAGCTCTGCTCTTCCCTTTGGGTTCTACGTGGTTACTCTGTCCAGGATCGTGAGAGAATGGCCAGGGGACGGCCAGTCAGAAAGTCTACCCGTCAGCACTCGGGAGGCCTGGACGCCACTGGCCCCAGGGAGCCTCACCGGGGTCACAGCCTGGCAGACGCCCACCCAGCTCATGTCACAAAACCACGAAGTGGAGAATGGGGCCCGGGCCAGGCTGCCCGCGATTCAAGCTGAACAGTCCAAGAGGAATGAGCGGCGGCCTCAGTGGCAGTTCTCAAGAACAGCTGTGTCAACTTCCCTGCGAACAGATGTTCCTCAGGTCCTATTTTAAGAAGAAACGGTCAGAGAAAGTGCCTGCTGCTGGGTGTTCCCTTCCTGCCCATCGTGTGGGGGCCAGGCAGACCCAGACCCCTCGGTGCACGTGGGCGGCTGGCAGATGCTCCCCCTTTCTCGGGGATCTGAACTTCCCAGGGTCGAGAGGGACTCCAGAAAAGAACCACCATGTCTTCCACAGAGAATTTAATACTTTCCGGAAGCTTCTCACCTCCTGGGAACCTCCCAGGACCCTGTCTGGCGGGTGGTGCTGGCCCAGCACGTCTGACCAGCACAGCTGTTTTCTGTGAACAGACCCACAGAGTGTGAGGAAGTGGATGTGACTTCACGTGGCCAGTTCTAGCCTCTGGGTCTCCTCAGCCCTGGAAAGAGCGCTTTGCAGAGATGAAGGTTCCCAGGTGCGTGGGGCCCCGGGGGACACGGGCAGGGCCCTCTGCCACGGGCAGAATGCAACGCAGAGACCGTCCCCAGTGAGAGTCATCACTAAGAAACCGCACAGGCCACACCCTGCCAGGGTCATGCCTTTTGCTGGGAGGACCCGGGTCGCATCAGTAAACACACGGTTCAGCCGGTGGTAATCGTGAAACAAGTTTAGCAAAAATATATTGAGAATTACAGCCAGAAACCGGTAAAGAAAAGGCAAATAAAAAATGTACAAAGTCTTTCCCCAGGTGTTGGCAAGGACCTAGTGCAGTCCAGAGACGGGCCCAGGCGCACCCGCCCGCCTGCCGGCCTCCCCAGGAAGGCGGCTTCGGGGAGGGACCCTGCACTTTAAAGACCGACAGGGTAGCGACACAGTTCAAATCCGCAAGGAGAACAGGCATCTTGGGAAGTCTTAAAACACTATCACTACCACCTGGTCCAGCTTCTCGTACGATGAAGGAGGAGCATTTTGAGGAAAAATTTCACATTAGTACAAAAAATACAGCTGGTTCATAAAAGCCAGGGCTGAGCCCCGCCCCACGGGCCAGGTGGTCTCGAGTGGACACGCAGGTCAGCGGGCCAGGAACACGGATGAGACTCGAGAGCGGCCCCTCGGGAAAACTAGACTACAGGTTTCGGGTGAGATAAAAACATTTCATAGGCCAATTCATTCTCAATCGTAACTTTAACCTAAAAAAACGGAGCGGGAGGGACCTTGACATTCTTAGCGATTCAAGTGTAGCCGTAATGCTGCTGTAAGGCGTTCGCGCCGAACCACGCGGCTCGGACGGTGGTCAGTGCAGGCGCAGCGGGCGCTGCTGGTGGCTCAGTGGGGGGAAGGCGCCCCCTCCCGAGGAGGCCCCGCTCCTCTGGCGGCTTCGCCCTGGGTCCCGGCCGGTCCGGAGCTGGGCCCCGCCCACAGGCAGGCTGGCCGGGGCTGCCCGGCCTAGC